AATAGATAGATAGATAGATAGATAGATGGATGATTGATAGAGAGATAGATAGATAGATGATTGATAGGTAGATGATCGATAGATGATTGATAGGTAGATGATAGATAGATAGATAGATAGATAGATAGATAAATGATTGATAGGTAGATGATCGATAGATGATTGATAGGTAGATAATAGATAGATAGATAGATAGATAGATGATTGATAGGTAGATGATCGATAGATGATTAATAGGTAGATAATAGATAGATAGATAGATAGATGATAGATAGATAGATAGATAGATAGATAGATAGATAGATAGATAGACTGTACCCCAAAAAAAGTAACAGAAGCTAGGTATATAGATATAGTATCTAGGTGGAGCATTTGCTTAGCATACACAGGCCCTGGCTCTATCCTAAAGACTAACCAACAGTTGCAATTATAACCTATGACTTATTAAATTTAAAATAGACTTTGGGGATGAGGACTGGTTCTGTGGTTAGAAGCATCTGCTGCTCTTGCAGAGGACCCTGGTTCAGTTCCCAGCACCCATATGGCAGCTCACAACTGTAACTCCCGTCCAGGAGATCCAACTTCCTCTTCTGGCATGGAAAGCAAGTGCATATATAATAATACATAATCATACATGCAGGCAAAATACTCATATCAAATAGAAATTAATATTTTAAAAGAAATTGCAGTTTAATAAATAAATGGGTTGTAAATGGTAATAAAAAGCTGATATAGTGGTGCACGCCTTTAATCCCAGCACTCAAGAGGCAGAGGCAGGTGGAGCTCTGTGAGTTTGAGTCCAGCCTGGTCTACAGAGTGAGTTCCAGGTCAGCCAACGGCTACATAGTGAGACCCTGTCTTTACAAGAGAGATAGAGAGAGTAATAATTTTAAAAATCACTAAATTAAAAAATAAATAAATAAAATAAACTTTTTGTTGTGTCTGACAAAAGGTCCAAACTTTAATTTTCAACTACTGGCTGGAGTTTGGTCCTAACTTAGGATTCTCTTTAATCGGCCTTTTCTAGTTCAGACTCTTACTGGGCGGTGCACTCTTGCTGATCCAATTATGTAAGTTTTCATGCATCCGAGACTTGGTTTTCTGGCTTTCTCTAGGCTTTAATAAACATTGGCGTCATTTTCCTATGAAAGCCTAAAGTCACTCTTCCTATAATGAACATTTTAAAAGTCTTTCTCGAAGTTGGGCATGGCGCCTCACACCTGTGGCCTCAGCAGAGGCAGGAGGATTGTTGCAACTTCAAGGCCAGTCTGGGGTACATGGTGAATTGCAGGCTACTCTAATATAGAGTGAGAGATTGTCTAAAAAATCAAAATGAACAAAAGTATTATAATAGTTGTCTTTTCCAGATAAAAGAGAAGGAAGAGGCCCAGCAGAAATACCGGGAGGCTGTCAGCCAAGGCCATGGCGCTTACTTGATGGACCAGGACACTCCGGTACAGCTCGTTACTCACCCAGTAGCCAGCGTGCTGTGGGAAATAGTTTGAAATAGGAATCTATGATAGAAACCAAGATCATTTACAGTACTCTAGGCCCATAAGATCTCTTGTGTATACTACACGTGGTGCCCTGCACCATAATCTCAGCACTTGAGAGGTAGAGGCAGCAGAATTGCTGCAAGGTCAAGGCCTACCTTTTCTACATAGTGAACTCTAGGCTGTGCAGAGCAACCTGGCAAGACCTTGTCTCAAACACACTCACAAAAAATTCCTTAGGAGAAAAAGGGGCTAAGCCAGGCATAGCCATGGGAGTTGTCTAACGGGGAAATGAAGTCGGTGCTATAGGAAACAGGAAGAGCTGGTGCTGCCGCTGGGCACTGGGTTGCCAGAACCAATGGCACACATTTGAAGTACACAATTTTCATCCCAACTGTAAAATGTAATAGAAATGTTTTCCCCAGAACTAAACTCACTTACCAACATGTCTAGTTTTCACCAAGCTATAACCCAGAAGGCATTCCTGTAAGCGCTTTAGAAATTTAATGTTTGGCCGGGCGGTGGTGGCGCACGCCTTTAATCCCAGCACTCGGGAGGCAGAGGCAGGTGGATCTCTGTGAGTTCGAGACCAGCCTGGTCTACAGAGCTAGTTCCAGGACAGGCTCCAAAGCCACAGAGAAACCCTGTCTCAAAAAACAAACAAAAAAAAAAAAAAAAGAAATTTAATGTTTGGTTGAGGGAAGAACACATTAAAGGTTATTACAGATCGAAGAGATAAGTCACTTTAATTTTTTTACATTCATTCATTCATTCATTGTGTATGTGCGCACACTTATACCACAGCATGCAGAAGTCAGAGGACACTTTTCTGGAGTTGGTTCTCTCCTCCTACCACATAGGTCCAGGACACTGAGCTCAGGTCGTCAGCTTGGTGGCTCGTGCCTTTATTCTTTAATTCCTTGTCGTTGTTTTAGCTCTTTCCTACAGATGGATGTTCTTAATGTCAAAAGCAGAGATTTAGGGCTGCTGAGATGGCCTAGCAGGTAGAAGGGCTCGCCGCCGTGCAAGCTTGACACCCTGAGCTGGATCTCCAGAACCCACGTAAAGGCAGATGAGAACATGGATTTCCTTTGTTACTTTGTCCAAATGTGTTAAATTATTATCATAGCGATAGAATGGCAACCGTACTCAAAGATGTTGAGATGAGCTCCCTAGATACCAGGAAAAAAGATCTGTCCAGAACTGGGCACATTGACACAGAATTCCAATGCCTCCCCAGTGAGAAGCCAGCATTTAGAGGTGAATAAGAAAGAGTTCCTCACTGAGAGTGCATGACCAGTTCTGGCTGATGCACCAAAGAGAACCAGCCCTGAGCAGAAACTCGCATCCCCGCATGGCAAAGGGCAAAGTATGTGACTACAGTGTGGAGCCCTTGAGCCCTTCCCCAATGGCCGTCCTCCCCTCTGTCTCCCACAGATGTGGTCCCCATCACTAGTGAACTGCTCCGGAGTTCCCCTGACGTTAGCCGTTGTCTAACCATATTCTGGGGAGGAGCTTGACTGAGTGTCATTGACATCACTCTATCGCTACGAGGAACAAACTACAGGGTGGATCTGCTTCTGAGTAGCTCTTGGTATTTTAGGATGTTTTCACTGTCAGCGTTGGAAACCTTCCCCCTCAGGCTAAGGTCCTCATCAAAATCACCTACATCACAGAACTCATCTTCCAGAGCCCTGTAGCTGTCTTCCTCATGCCCGCCACCGTAGCGCCCTGGCAACAGGACAAGGCTTTGAATGAGAACCTTCAGGTGGGTGTGCTTAATATGCGATCTGATGGAAAGCAGGTATAGCATGCTTTAATCCCAGCACTTGGGAGGCAGAGGTGGGCAGATCTCTGTTAGTTCAAAGCCAGCCAGATATACATAGGGAGTGCCAGAACACCATAGTGAGATTCATTCTCAAAATCCAATATATACACACATATATATACCTACATACACGCAATACATACATACATACATACATACATACATACATACATACATACACATACAAACACATATAGTGGGGGGGGGGAGATGGCTCGGTGGTTTCAGAGCACTTACTGTTATTGCAGAAAACCTGGGTTCAAATTCCAGCATCCTCATGACAGCTAAGAACTGTTTGCAACTCCAGTACCAGAGGATTCAGCGCCCTCTTTTGGCTGTCTCAGGCACTGCACCCATTCGCCTAGTGCACATATAGAATGCAAAGCATCTATACACATCAAATAAAATTTTAAAGAAATCTTCAAAAAAGAAAAAGAAAAAAATTTTGTGGTAATGGTCAGAGGTGTTCCTGACATCAGCTGAATGTTAGAAGTTAATGTCATCTCCTGACCCTATGCTGTGTGTCACTACTTGGAAATGAGACTGTCTCTCATGATGTTGTCAACTGTGCCTGGCTGAGATCACCTTAGTATTCTAAAAGCTTATGAAAATTCGATTATTCACATATACTTTTCCTCTAACAGGATACAGTGGAGAAGGTCTGTATAAAGGAAATAGGAACGAAGCAAAGGTTAGTACCTAAAATATAAATCAGGTGATTAACTCATTCAGTGGGCATTGGCTTTATGGTTAAATCTCATTTACAATTTTTGGAAAGGATGGGAGATAAAGTTCATTGCTAGAGGGCTTGCTCACCTGCAGGAAGCCCTGGCTTTGATTCCAGTGCTGTGAAAAGAACCCCATGAGACAGCTGTGATGAGCACCTAAGATCATGTACTAATGTGGTCTCTTGGTTTTCGGTAGCTTCTCCCTGGCTATGTCCATCGAGATGCCCTACAAGATTGAATTCATCTCCAGTGACACACACGAACTGAGACAGAAGGTCAGTGAATCCGTCCTTGGTTTCTGAAGAACCTAGTTTCCCGTTAATTTTATCATATCAAAAGTATATGTATGTGGTATAAAAGTGAACCAACGCAACACCCACCGGCTTCCACAAGCGGCAGTCATGCCCCATGCTGCCCCACAGATTGGCGTTTCTCTGCTGTTGCCTTAGGGCTTTAAGTAATCATTTTTACCGTTTTGCCTTGATTCATCTGCTTCATATAAGACTGGGATGTGGCTCAGTGTGTAGTGTTGTCCCAGCACTCATGAACCCTGGCTTTGATCCTCACTGTTGGGGGTGAGGGGAAAGTTGCCGTTTGACGTCCTGTTTTGATAGGAGTATGTAAACAATGTTTACGATTGAGCCAGTAAATATTATGATGACATTTTTTATATAATTTTTTTTTATTTTCTGTGATGATTATCCACCTGTATTCATGTATGTGTGCCACATGAGTGCCTGGTGTCCACTCTGGCCAGAAAACAGTGTTGGATCTCCTGGAACTGGCGTTACAGACAATTGTGAGCCTCCACGTACGTGCTAGAAACCAAACTCCGAAGTGTGATCCCAAGGTGTCTGGAGAACGTTGTGTTCAGTCGCTCCAGGTTCTGATTGTGTGGTCTGCTTTCTGCTATGTCCAGACAGACGTGCAGACATGTGACCTTTAGATACACAATGAATTGTCTCCGACTTAACTAGATTTGACTGTACAGAGTTTCAGGACCTTAACCAGTCTGTTAGTGGATTCGTAACTTTGTATCACTGTAGTGTTGATTCATAATGGAGTTATGTAAATACTGCAGGTACTTACAGGTGGCAGGCAGGTCAGTACAGACGGGCAGGGTGCTGTCATTCCTTTCTTTACTTTGTGTGTGTTTGTCTTCTTTTGCAGAGCACCGACTGCAAAGCTGTGGTTAGCACCGAGGAAGGCTGTTCCTTAGACAGCAGTGGATTTTCTCTCCACATTGTTCTGCGTGATGCGTATCTCCCAAGAATGTGGGTTGAAAAACATCCAGAAAAAGAAAGTGAGGTATGTTCCTTCTTATTCGGGAGAAGAAACACTGGCAGATGTGATAGTTCATTTAGAAAAGCTGAGGCAGGAGAATTGCCACTAGTTCAAAATGTGCCTTGACTGTATAGCAAGAAAACATCAACATATATACATACATGCATGCATGCATAAATGAAGTAACTGAGCACAGTGCCTCATGCCTATTGATCCAGTGCTTGAGAAGTAGAGTCAAGGAGAAATCGGGAGTTTGATGTTATCCTTACATACAAAATTTAATACTATATTTTGTGCTATAGGAGACCCTGTCTCAAAAATATAGTAATAATAATGATGACAATGATGATAGCAATAGAAGTAGGAGGTACCATCTTTTAGGAGAAAATGTATGACTAAATATGCCACTGAAGTTGGAATTGGTTTTTTGAAACAGGGTCTTTCTATGTAGTTTAGGCTGGTCTTGAACTCCTTTGTCTTTCAGACTGGCCTTGAACTTATGATCCTCCTGATTTAATCCCCCGAGTGCTAGACGTACATGGGCCAGCCCATCCAGTGTTTGCGCGGTGAGGGGAACTCTTGGTCCTTGTCTCCTTAAAAGAAAGAAGACAGTGTAGAGCCATAGACAGTTTAACCAGTTTAGCAAAGCTAAGCAAAGAAAACATTCAAGAGACTGAAGTAGGCTGCCCCAGAGGCCAGCAGCCCAGTGCCCTTTTCCATGGATTTCCAACAAGTTTCATGAACATTTACAACACGAGTGGTTTATTCATGGGACGAGGTAACCCTTTCCCTCCCAAGTCATGGTGGATTGGACCTTCCTCTTAGGGCATTTCTTCCAATGATCTTCTAGAAAAGCCCGCAGGGTGAGTGTTACAGAATTACAGTAAGGGTGGCGGGTCTTTTGAGGATGCAGACTCTACCTTAGTGCACGTGAAATGCCTGGCGCCTTTGCTTCTGATGTAGCAGGAGCCACCTAACTATAGTCTCACGGCTGTTTCACCACATGAGGCATTCTATACGCCAGGAGGCACAGCTACCAAGAGACAGCTGATATTCTCAGTTACCTGGAACCCATGTAAGTTGTCCTCTGACCTCCACATGAGAACATGTCATGTGTGTGGGGGCAGACATGCACATGTGTGCACACACACACACACACACACACACACACACACACATATATATATATATATATATGATACTAGAAAAATAAATAAAGGCCAGAGAGATGGCTCAGCAGTCAAAGGTGCTTGCCTTCAAGCTTGATAGTCTGAGTTTAGATCCTTGGAACTCACATGGTAGAAGAAGAAAAATGACTCCCATAAATTTTCTCGACCTCCAGGTGCATACAGGGTCATGTGTGTGCCCACCCACCCACATAAATACAAACACATACACACATGAATAAATTAATAAACAAATTCAATAAAAAATGTTTTTAAAAAATAAGTAAAGTTAGCTGGGCAGTGATGGTGCACACCTTTAATCCCAGCACTCGGGAGGCAGAAGTAGGTGGATCTCTGCGTTTGAGGCCAGCCTGGTCCACAGAGAAAGTTCTAGGACAGGCAGAGATGCACAAAGAAGCCCTGTCTTGAAAAACCCAATATATATACTTTTATGTAAATATAAAATTACTTATGGCCATAATACAATTGTGTACATTTGCAACAAAGAATTATTATTTTGATTAAAATTCAGACAGACTTGGGGCTGAGAAGTAAGTCTGAAGACTGAGTTTGATTTCACAGACCCACTTGGTAGAACAGGCCATCCCAACAGGTCCCCACAAATTGTCCTCCCACTTCCACATCCATGTACCCATACATACATGCACACTAAATAAAACAAATAAAATAATTTAGAAATAAGGAAAATTATAATGAAAATAACTTAAAGGGCTGGAGAGATGACTCAGTGGTTCAGAGCTCTGGCTGCGCTTCAGAGGAGGCAACTTTGATTCACAGCACCCGCGTGGTAGCTCAGAACTGCCTGAAACTCTGGCTCAAGGGATCCAACATGTTCTTTTTGCTTACAGGGACACCCGTATCCACATAGATAATCATGCAAACAAACACCCATGTACATAAAAAAATAAAATTAAAACACAGCTTAAAGCTGAAGCTTAAAGATAGTAGGACTAGTTTACGTACTGATTAATAAGAGGTCTGCGCACATATTTTAGCAATCACTACGACATCTGTATTCCTTTTATAATAGTGTGTGGGTGAGAGACATGTAGTCCTTCATTATTTGTACAAGGTCAAATCCTGTGGGGTTTGTTTTGTTTTGTTTTAGATAGTCTGTATTTGAGGTACCAGAGTATTGTGTAGCCCAGGCTGGCCTGAAAGTCATTAAACTTCAAATCCCCCTGCCTCTACTGCCCATGGATAGGAATTATAGGGAACTACCACATCCGTTTTATGCGGTGCTAGAGATCAGACTTCGTGTAACTCAGTCAAGTCTCTACCAATGAGCTGCATCCCCAGACCCCAGTGCGGACTCTTGCTTTCTCAGGTGCTTTTGTCTCCCTCTGTAACATTCTGGTTTTTATTTGAATGCCTGGGATACTATTCCCTCCCCCTTAACACTTGTAGATCATTTTATTATTGGGAAAATAATAGCTGGGAGTGGTGATAGATTCCTGTAATCTTAGCACTTTGGATGAACAGGTAAGAGAATCTTAAAGGTTCAAGGTCACCCTTGACTATATAGCAATTTTAGGCTAACTAGCTTTTGTTACATGATGGAGACCCTACCTCAAAAGAATAAAAGAGAAATGGTATCTGTTTTATTTTGGTAGTGTTAGTTTACTAAAAGGTTTTTTTTTTTTTTTTTTGGTTTTTCGAGACAGGGTTTCTCTGTGGCTTTGGAGCCTGTCCTAGAACTAGCTCACAGAGATCTGCCTGCCTCTACCTCTCGAGTGCTGGGATTAAAGGGTTTTCTTCTTTTAAATGCACGCATGTGTGTACTCGTGTGCATGCATGTGTGCGTGTTATGTGTGTGTGTGTGTGTTGTAAACATGTGCACAGAAAGCCTATACAGGGCAGAAGAAAGCTTTGAGCATGTTCTTTATTTCCCAGTGGCTTCTGGGTTGAAGTCTGGTCACCAGGCTTGAACAAAAAACATTTTTACCTGCTGAGGACCCATCTCACAGTTCCTAGAAGCTTTCAGACTGTAAGTGTTCCCCATTTAAGACCCAGTGTCTTTTTCTCCTTCTAGGCTTGCATGCTTGTCTTTCAACCGGATCTGGCGGCCACCCTTCCTGACCTCCGCGCAAAGAATGAAGTGATTATTTGTCTTGACTGTTCCAATTCCATGGAGGGTGTTACATTCATGCAAGCCAAGCAAGTTGCCCTGTACGCTCTGTCTCTGGTGGGTGAGAAGCAAAAAGTGAACATTATGCAGTTTGGCACAGGTTGGTGCACTGTCCCCAGCCCTTCGTGTATCTCTTCTCTAACATGAACATGTGCAGACTGTTGGGGCCTGGCTGGCCTCGTCTGTGCAGTGGGAGACAGCTTAGCCCAGAACGCTGAAGTCAGTGCCTCTTGGTGAAGATTTTGTCTCCCTCTCCTGATCATAAACTCAGTAGTCTCTTGTTTTTTTCCTCATCGGCATGATGGGCAAAAAGTCTTGTAAGGGTGGAGCTAACATAGGCCGAGGATTTTCAGCTTTGCTACATAGTGAGTACCACACAAATGTGGCCAATGCAATCAACTAAACAAAACACAGGAACCTCGGTTTATTTAATAGGAAGGCTCCAAGAGTCAGGACCAACATTTGCAGCCAGCACGCTCATAGATACTGTGTTAGAAATGGGCTCAGGCAGCACCAGGCCAGCACTGTTACTAGGTCAGTGTCACCCTCCAGGAAGGAGAGCGGGGACAACTCAACAATATGACAGAGCTAGGAGTGGTGGCTCAAATCATGGGTCAGTTTAATGGCTTAACCACCAAATAGGAATTATTTAAGATGGCTGGAACCACAGTTATTTGGCCATGACATCCTAGTTGGATATGGTTAAAGTGCCTTTGAGCTGGGCCTGCTGGGTTATTCCTGTAACCCTCAGCACTAGAGACTGAGGCAGTAGGACTGACAAGAGTTCAAGGCTAGCCTGGCCCACATTGCGAATTCCAGGCTAGCCTGAGCTACATAGCAACACCCAGTCTCCAATAAATGGATGGATGGATGGATGGATGGATAGATAGATAGATAGATAGATAGATAGATAGATAGATAGATAGATAGATAGATGTAGGTAGGTAGATAGATAGATAGATAGATAGATGATATATAACAGATAGACAGACAGATAATAGATTGATGATAGATTGATAGAGATAGATAGATAGAGATTGATAGATTGATAGAATTAGATAGATAGATAGATAGATAGATAGATAGATAGATAGATAGATAGAGATTGATAGATTGATAGAATGAGATAGATAGATAGATGATATATAACAGATAGACAGACAGATAATAGATTGATGATAGATTGATAGAGATAGATAGATAGAGATTGATAGAATTAGATAGATAGATAGATAGATAGATAGATAGATAGATAGATAGATAGATATTGATAGATTGATAGAATGAGAGAGATAGATAGATAGATAGATAGATAGATAGATAGATAGATAGATAGATGATAGATGATATATAACAGATAGATGGATGGGTGGAGGGAGGGAGGGAGGGAGGGATGGATGGATAGACGGATGGACCGACAGACAGACAGACAGACAGATGAGGCATCTCAGAGATGAAAGAAGGAGCATGGAGTAGGATCAGGGCACAGTCCTGTCCTGTTGAGTCCCATCTTGCCATCCACCTAGCTTTTTTCACAGTGAAGCTAGGGTTGTTCTGCCAGGAACATGGATCATACAGGGATAGCGAGCACTTTGCTGGAGACTCTGCCCTGCCAGGGCTGAGCTGCCCATGCCACTGAAGTGTCCCACATTTGAGGACTCTGCACAGAGCTTGACTTAGAACATTTTAGATAGCACAGTTTATAAAATATGCTTCAAACATGAGTGTATGTTCAAGTGTTTGTACACAGTTCTCTGAAAAGGAAACACGCATGTAAACATCCACTGTTCTTTATGGTAGAAGCAGTGGTATAAAGTAGCGCTGATTTTATTAGTGGTCAGTCCGGTGAGTGTTTAATGGTAATGTGTCACACCTTCTTATTACACAGGTTACAAGGAGCTATTTTCCTATCCTAAGTACATTACAGACAATAAAGTGGCCACAGAGTTCATTATGGTAAGAACTGTCTTCCCCTCCTGAGTCTTTGCGAAGCTTGAGTGATGCTGTCCAGGACTTAATCCTGGGCGTTGCACATTGGTAGATGTGAGTTAGCTTTCTCTCCCAATGCATGCGATAAACCAGTTTGTAAGGAGGGAGGTTTCTTTAGTTCACACTTGTAGACGTTTTAGTCTGCGCTTGCTTGGCTTTCTGACTTTGATGGCAGCACAGCTTATTACAGCAGAGGGAGGACGTTCATTCACCCGAGGGCCCAGGAGCAAAGAAAGGCAGGGGCCGGGTCCCAGTATCCCCTTCTATCAGGGCATACACCCCAATCTGAATCCTAGTACACTAGGTCCCACCAACTCCAATAGCACCACAGGCAAATAACAAAACCTTTGTGGGCTGGGAGATGCCAGTTATCCATCCCACAGCAGTGGCCCCTGGTGATAGTGACCGTGACGGTGAGGATGGCATGATCTTTCTTTAATGGGAATTTAGCAAGAGTCAAAAGAGAAAAGTCAAACTTGTAATCCCAGCACTTGACAGCCAGAGGCAGGAAGATCAGGAGTTCAGAACTAGGAGGTAGCTACCTAGTAAGCTTGAGGCCAGCCTGAACTGTGCCTGTCGCCAACACCTAAGAAAGGGGCTGGTGAGAGTGGATAAAGACGGTGGATGAGGTCCACCCTGGACCCACATGTTAGAAGGATTGGCCTACACAAGTTTCTGTGTGACCCCTACATGTGCACCATGGCGCCCGTGAGCCCCACACACCACACACGAATCAGAAAATATCAGAGCCTGCAGAGATGGCTCAGTGGTTAAGCACTGACTGCTCTTCCAGAGGATCCAAGTTTGATTCCCTGCACCACTGTGGCAGCTCACAGTCATCTGTAACTCCAGTTCCAGGGATATTGTCTGCCCTCTTCCAGCTTCAGAAATGCATGTGGTACATAGACATACGTGCAGGCAGAACATCCAATTAAAATAATAAAGTATAAAATAATAATAATGAAAAAATTGAACAACCAGCAAGAGAAACTGCCTACATTCCTACAGCCCAATGTGGCCCCATAAGCATTTTGGAAGTTTTTCTTCTGCCCACTGTCTTAAAATGAGCAAACTCAAGGGTGCGTCGACAGCATGCATGTTCCTTCGCACAGATGCTCAGTTCTTTGAAAACTAGCCTTCAGATGTTCAGTGGTAATACTACAGTTGCTGTGGGGCATGGAATAAACTGAGGGGATATAGGTATCTTTGTTCCATGCGTGTATAATTTCTGTATGACACTGTGTCCCCAGGTTCTGACCTGCTCGCTTCAGCGAATGAGGCATTAATGATGGCATACAGTTGGCCATGATGGGGAGGCTGGAAGGAATAAACTGACCTTATAAAGGATCCGCCGGGAAACTTGCTTAGGAAATACTAAGTTATACAAAAGTAGGATTTAGCTAAAGGAGCACGGCCTCAAATATGACTGGGAGATAAGTAATGCAGTATCCAGGCTTCCTAGGAACTACAGAAAGAAAAGAGAAGTAGAGCTGACCTCTAATGGAAGGGCTGAGGGTTTCCAAGCCTGTGTTTCTCGTAAGCTTTGCTCACCAAGACTGCCAGGCAGGCAGGAGGACCCGGGTCAACAACCCCCCAAGAAGAGCAACACTGCTCTGATTCAGATTAACTGGGACAGTATTTTTACTGTGTAAATCTCCCATTTCTCCAAAACGGCCAAGCTTGCCGGGTGGCGGTGGCGCACGCCTTTAATCCCAGCACTCGGGAGGCAGAGGCAGGCGGATCTCTGAGTTTGAAGCCAGCCTGGTCTACAAAGTGAGTTCCAGGACAGGCTCCAGAGCTACAGAAAAACCCTGTCTCGAAGAACAAAAAAACAAAAAAGTCTATCCAAGCTGTAAAGTATTTCTGTTCGGGACCAGTTTCCTTTTGGACATTTGCCAGAACCAGACATGCGCTTCTCCTTCCTTCAGCGTTCCCTGGTGTTTGCAGTGACTCCTCACTGGGGGGCTGGAAGAAGCCTTAATTTGTCACAGCACCCAGAGTGTAGTGGTTGCCATGTTAGTGATGAATGTGCCTTCAGCTGTGCCGCTTCCTCCTCTGCAGTCCGCAGCATCCGCCATGGGGAACACAGACTTCTGGAAAGTTCTCCGCTATTTAAGTCTACTGTACCCTTCTGAAGGGTTCCGGAACATTCTCCTCATATCTGACGGGCACCTCCAGAGTGAAAGCCTGACACTGCAGCTTGTGAAGAGAAACATCCATCACACCAGGCTGTTCACCTGTGCTGTTGGGTAAGTCTCAGGGGTCTGGTCGCCACGGTGGCAGAGGCAGCTAGCACAGGCGTTGGTTGGCCTGTCTGGGGGTTTTGCAAGCTTGAAAGTCGGTATGAGTATATGAAATCTGTATGTTGTAGAGCAGTCGAGCTCTTGGCTTGGGACCACGCTGCCAGGGTCTCACAGCTGCAGGGACCTTGGGCAGGCTGTCTCATTTGTAAAATGAAGGCGAAAATGCAATACCTACCTCATGGGACTATTATTTTGCATAAGAGTTCATGGGACCAGCTTGTCCTTAGCGGCCTGGCCCAGCTCCCTGGGGCCACCCCTTCCTCACCCCCGCCTTCTCCCTCTCTGCGCTATAGGTATCCTGCATTTGCACTGAAACCCTGGAGTCAGTCTTTCCACAGATTGTTGGAATCACTCTTTTTTTTTTTTTTTTTTTTTTTTCCGAGACAGGATTTCTCTGTGGCTTTAGGGCCTGTCCTGGAACTAGCTCCTGTAGACCAGGCTGGTCTCGAACTCACAGAGATCCGCCTGCCTCTGCCTCCCGAGTGCTGGGATTAAAGGCGTGCGCCACCACCACCCGGCTGTTGGAATCACTCTTGCCAATTGTAGTTAGCATCTGTGTAAGGAGGGGAGGCTCCTGCTCTTTGTGAAGGGCCCCAACCATTCTCTTCCCCTAAGTTCCTGGGTTCTTCCTGCACAGCTCCCACCCCAGGACACCAGGTGTCCCTGTTCTGAGGCAGGGGACTAGTGAAGTAATATGTAGACCGCTGTGTTGTCCTCACAAGTGAGCTCCGATGACAAGAAGCCCCCGTTTTCTGGGGTCCAGGACATTCCTGGGGTTTCATAGCCTCTGATGGTGCTCCACGGCTGTTGGTGACTAAAAGCAGCTCTTGCTGCCCCCACTCACTGCATGCCCCTGCTCACTATATGTTCCCTTTGTATCAATTGTTCCGTTTTATGACAAGGTCTCACTCAATAGCCCAGGCCAGCCAGGAAATTACTATGAAGACCAGGCTGGCTGGAACTTGTGACCCCGTCCCATCAGACTGTCGAATGCTGAGATTACAGGCATATGCCACCATGCCGTCTAAGCTGATGTGTTTTGTTTTGTGGCAGGGTCTCATGTAGCCCAGGCTGGTCATGAACTCTCAAAAATAACAGAGGCAGACCTTGAACTCGGATCCTCCTACCTTTGCCTCACAAGTGTGGCATCACCGATGTGTTCTGGCACACCTAGTGTGTTCAGTACTGGGGATTGAATCCAGTGCCTTGTGTGTGCCAGGCAAACGCTCTACAGCCCAACTCTTCAGGCTGCTGTCTGCATCAAGTGTCATTCTGATAGCTTTTGAGGGTTTTTTTTTAATCTTTGTTTACAGGTGTATTGTTTACGAAAGGTCTCTGTGTAGCTCAGGTTAGCCTCAGAATGTAACCAAGGATACCCTTGGGCTCCTGATCTTCCTGCCTCCCTCTCCCAAGTATGATATCATGCCCAGTACCCTTGGGGGTTGTTGTCGTTGTTAGTTTTTAAGTATGGAAGTATTAGATTTTATTTATTTATTGCTTATCATCTTTGCTGTGGAGGTTTCTGCTAACATACCATGACCTGCATAGTGTCAACCACATGAAGCAGGAAGAAAGTGTGGTTCAACACGACTTAGTAGCCCAAATCGGTTCAGACTTCTGAGTCTGACATGAGGCAGTTTATTTTAGGCATATTTAAGTACAGTACAACTTGGAAAAAAGTTTCATGGTGTAACACAATCCCGTGTGCACAATAAAGCTTAAGACATAATTACATCAAAAATCTTTTCAAAGTACTGTCACCTCTTCCAAGTTACCTTAAAGGCTTGGGGAAGGGCTGGGTGTGGGCTTGGTCACACAGACAGTGCAGAAGTCACCTAGGCTGTTATCCACCTCTGGTCCAGTTTACAGAGTCCCGAGGGGACAGGTGTGGCCTCAGTCACGTGGATAGTGCAGGGTTCTCCAGGCTGCTAACCGCATCCATTCCCAGCCTTCCAGGTGGAAAACAGATTACCCATCTGTGCCTTTGAAGAGACAGCCCCGCACTTTAACATTCCTAGTCTCCCAGGGCTTCTCTGCACAAGGACTTCGTGCCCTCTACCTTTTGCCAATGCTGTATTGATTCGAGTGCCTCCCTTGCCTTGGATGTGCTCTCCCATGGAGCTACACCCTAGCCCCATTTTATCTGTTTAACTCAGCAACGGAAAAGTGACTTCTTCATGAGTCTTTCTCAACATTAGTAACATGTATTTTCACAATTGTGTCTAAAATGTCTTGAAAATTGCTGGGTGTAGATTTGTAATCTCCTCGCTTGGCACACTGAAGTAAGAGGATTGAAAGTTCAAGGCCAATGCGGACTACTTACTAAGACACGTCCAAAAAAAAAAAAAAGCAAACAAACAAACAAAAACAACTAAATATGATGGTACGTACTTGTAAGAGGTGGAAGGACTAACCCTAGTTCAAGTAGGTGTGGTGGCAAACATCATTTTTGTTTGTTTGTTTGTTTGTTTGTTTGTTTGTTTTTCTTTTTTTTCTTTTTTTTCTTTCTTTCTTTATTTATTTATTAAATATTTCAGTCTCTTCCCCACCTCCGCCTCCCCTTTCCCTCCCCCTCCCCCAATACGTTCCCCCTCCCTCTTCAGCCCAAAGAGCAATCAGGGCTCTCCGTCCCGTGGGAAGTCCGAGGAAAACCCTCCTCCATCCAGGTCTCGTAAGGTGAGCATCCAAACTGCCTAGGCTCCCACAAAGCCACTACATGCAGTAGGATCAAAGACCCATTGCCACTGTTCTTGATGTCTTAGTAGTCCTCATTGTCCGCTATGTTCAGTGAGACCGGTTTTAACCCAGGCTTTTTCAGACCCAGGTCAGCTGGCCTTGGTGAGTTCCCGATAGAGCATCTCCATTGTCTCAGTGTGTGGGTGCACCCCTCGCAGTCCTGAGTTCCTTGCTCATGTTCGCTCTCCTTCTGCTCCTGATTTGGACCTTGAGATTTCAGTCCGGTGCTCCAATGTGGGTCTCTGTCTCTGTCTCCTTTCATCGCCTGATGAAGGTTAATATTCAGGAGGATGCCTATATGTTTTTCTTTGGGTTCTCCTTCTTCTTTAGCTTCTCTAAGAACCCGAATTGTAGGCTCAATGTCCTTTATTTATGGCTAGAAACCAAATATGAGTGAGTACATCCCATGTTCCTCTTTTTGGGTCTGGCTTACCTCACTCAGGATAGTGTTTTCTATTTCCATCCATTTGCCTGCAAACTTCAAGAAGTCCTTGTTTTTTACTGCTGAGTAGTACTCTAATATGTATATATTCCATACTTTCTTCATCCATTCTTCAATTGAGGGGCATCTAGGTTGTTTCCAGGTTCTGTTTGTTTGTTTTTAAGACAGCATTTCTCTTTAGCTTTGGAGTCTGACCTGGGACTAACTCTTGTGGACCAGGCTGGCCTCAGACTCACAGAGATCCACCTGCTTCTACCTCCCGAGTGCTGGGATTAAAGGCGTGCACCACCACCACGTAAAGGCAAACATCTTTAATTTCAACACTTGGGTGCCAGGGTCCAACCTCTGCTGGGGTTCAGATCCTGTGCCAGGAAAACTTCTGGCCACCAAGTGGCTTGCATTCAAGTGGCCCTGAATAACTCGAGCCGTCTTTATACAGCTTTCTTACCAGGGTTACGTGAACAGCTTTATTATTGGCTCCTATTTTTGACCTTTAAGAAATATATAATATTTTAAGGAATACATGGTAATCATAATGAAAGCCCCCATTGTTCCCCTTTATGCTTCCCCAAATATACCTTCCCACCCCCTACGTGACCTTATTCTAGACATAGAGTTCAGCATTTTTGCAGGCCTAACTAAATATCGAGCCAGATACACCCTGCTCTGGGAGAACTTATGTCAGCTTGCAGCTACTTGTGGTTACAAAGTTAAAAAAAAGTAATAGATATGGGCACCAGCTCTAAAGACAACAATATTCAAACCCAGACAATTCTTTCATGTCTGCAAGACATGTTTTTATACAGTTCCCTCTTCTACAAGAGGGTCCCATGCCTCAGTCTCTCTGTAGAGGCAGACTTTGATAAGGCGCTCTTTCCCGTCCCACACTTCTCCCACCAGTATAAACTCCTGTGTGTGGTAAAGATGGATCTTTCCATACCATATTTTACATTGTATTTTCCCCATTGGTGCGTACCAGATCCTGTTGTTGGTTTCATATGTGTGGTGTCGAGGGCATTTACTCTCAAGAGTTAGCACTGTGAGTATTCCTGAGGCTCTTTCCCTATTCTGTGTGTATGTACCCTACTCCCCTTTCCAGAACCGTGAGACATGGTCTGTGCTCCAAGTGTTGTTTCCTCATACGTACCTAACAGTCTCTATTGAGTGAGGAAAGCTCCCAAGATTGGGAGTTGTAGTTAGTAATTCCAGATAAGAGATTTGAGAGGCATTAGACCCCTGTTGAATCTCGGGGAAATATTCAAGAAAGAACAGAATATCCAGGGGAAATTACAGCTGTTGCATGAGTGACTGACAAAGTAAACCTAAAACCTGCCCAAAGAATCACCAATGTAACGAGAGGAAAAAAGCCTGCAGGCTGCACAAATTTTGCAAATCCCCACGCTGTCCCATGGACTCTCACTGTGAGAGTCTGTTTCCACAGGTGCTTTGCCACGAGGAAATCGTTGCATAGGTAGTCACAGGGAGAGACTAGGGAGGCAGAGGCAGTTGGGTCTCTGAGTTCAAGGCCAAGCTGGTCCACAGAATGAGTTCCAGGACAGCCAGGACTATTGCACAAGAGAAACCCTGTCTCAAAAAACAAGGGGCTGGAGAGATGGCTCAGTGGTTAAGAGCACTGACTGCTCTTCCAGAGGTCCTGAGTTCAATTCCCAGCAACCACATGGTGGCTCACAGCCATCTGTATGAGACCTGGCACCCCCTTCTGCCTTGCGGGCACACATGGAAGGAATGCTGTACACATAATAAATAAATAAATATTTAAAAAAAGAAAAGAAAAAAAGAAAAACAAAAACAAATGAACAACAACAACAAAAAATAAAATGTGTAAAATGTGATCAGTTCTACAGCAAACCGTCACATCTTAAGGACCTTGTCTCAGTGTGGTGCTGGAGTATTTGAGTATTTTAACTCAAAATCCAAGGAGAGTTGGAAAAAACAGGTATGTGGGGGTATTTTTTTTAACATCTTATCTGTAATCCTGTTTTTATATGTACAAGTTCTACCTTCTTGCTAGTCTAATAGTAGCTTTCATCTCTTTGTGAATGGACAAGACTCACAAGGAGGCCAAAGCTTTTAAAAACATTTTCTTAAATAATAAGAAGGGCCAAGCCAGACATGGTGGGTCATGCTTTAAATTAAGCCCCCCTCTCCCCTCTGCCCCACAGAGCTGGTGCTGTAGAGGTGACCACACCCAGGGGTTAGTTTTTCATTGTGATAAAATACATACAGGATTTACAAGTCTGTTTCACTGGTGTGAATTCATTCACAGTGTTGTGGAACCAGCATTACCAGCTATTTCCAGAACTTCGCCACCGTCCTTGACGAAAGTCTGTAACAGGAGGCTAAATAATAAAACTCTGTGTTGCCTCCTGCCTCTAGCTCCTGAAAATGTCTATTCTGCTTCCGGTCTTTATGAACTTGCCTTTCCAGATGCTTTAGATGCAGAGGCATAGCACGCTTGTTCTTTTGTGTCTGGCTTATCTATTTTAGCATAATGTCCACGAGAATCATCTGTATTGTGTTTTTAAACAGGATTTCTTTTCATTTGAAGGTCAAATATTTTATTATTTTTTATTGGGTTTTGAAAAAGGGGTCTCATGTAACTCAGCTTGAGCTGCGGCTGGACTTGAACTCCTGACCCTGCTGCCTTCGTTACGCTAGTGTTGAGATTTCAGGTGTGTGCCACAATGCCCATTTTAGAGATGAGTAATAGCCTGTAAAATATGCATATAAAATTATTCATCATAGATAGGTAATAGATAAATACATTAGTAGATAGGTAGATGATAGATACATAGATACATAGGTAGATGATAAAGAGAGAGACTAGGTAGGTAGGTAGGTAGATAGATAGACAGATAGATAGACAGACACATACATACATACATACATAGTAGACAGATAGGTAGATATGCACACACACTTTTCAATGGACACAGCTTATTTCCACCTTATGCTGCTGTGAATGGCCCTAATGTAACTCTGGTGCACAGTATCTGTCTGAGCCCTTCCAGTTGTTCAATTCTCTTTTTTTTAATTAATTTATTTATTTATTATGTATACAGTGTTCTGTCTGCATGTATGCCTACCTGCCAGAAGAGGGCACCAGATATCATAGATGGTTGTGAGCCACCATGTGGTTGCTGGGAATTGAACTCAGGAATCTCTGGAAGAGCAGCCAGTGCTCTTAACCACTGAGCCATCTCTCCAGCCCCCCAGTTGTTCGATTCTGGGTTTGTACTTAGATGTCAAATTACTGACTCGTGTCGGAACTGTTAGGATTTGCCGTCCGTTTTTCTGCAGCAGCTGCACATTTCACATTCCCACTGGCAATGTTCCAGAGTTGCCAGGCGTGTGCGGCAGGTGCCTCCACTGGTTGAGCCATTGCCACAAACTGAAATAGAAAAACTTAAAGTATATATTTAAACTGCTGGCACCTTTAGTTCCAGCACTCAGGTGGCAGGGGCAAGTGGGTCACTGTGAGTTCGAGGTCAGCCAGGGGCTATATAGTAAGACCCTGTCTCGATCCTTTTTCCATTTTGGAAAAGTACCCCATCACAGGAAGTAAATGAGAACCAAACAAGCTATAAAATCCCCAAAGACAGCCGGGCGGTGGTGGCGCACGCCTTTAATCCCAGCACTCGGGAGGCAGAGGCGGGCGGATCTCTGTGAGTTCGAGGCCAGCCTGGTCTACAAGAGCTAGTTCCAGGACAGGCTCCAAAGCCACAGAGAAACCCTATCTCGAAACTCCCCCCC